TTAATTGCGTTTGGTAGATTATATTGAGTTGGATTCACTTGAATTTTGTGTTGGAAGAATTTTAAAAGTAGCTCAGACGATGAGAAGGCATTAATAATTGTATCATAGTCTCAGACTGTTGTATTGAAATTTAGTGTACGTGCTTTTGCTATTGCAATAGTAACAGAGTTACACCAAGTGAGTGAGCGATCATCTTTCGTATATTTCTTTTTTGGAAGGTTAGAGGTAAGTGCACTACTATATGTCTTCTTGGGAGGTATGAAAGATTCTGTGGTTACATTAGATTGAGTATCCATGTGGTTGTCTATGTCTTCTTTTGGTTGGGTTAGTTGTATAGAATTGTTAGTGATTGGTACTTTTTGGACCGAGCTCCAGAAGTTGTCTTGAATGAGGTCCTAGAATGGATCAGGTGTGTTATAATGATCAGTTTCCATACTTGTAACCTGGATCCTAAGGTGTTTGTGTTGTTTCTCACACTTGTTTGTTTGTTTGGATTATTTCCTACGCTATTTTGTTTGTTTTGAATGTTTTTCACGCTTGTTGGTTTGTTTTGATCAGATGATGTCATTGTTATTTTTGACAGGGGTTTGCTAAATTCCCCACTTTGGGTTAAATTTTTTTGTGCGATATGTGGTAGGGTGGTAGTAGTATTATAGATGGTATCTTTTCCGTCTTTGGTTTTAGATATTGTCTTTTTCTTTTTTAGTAGTAGTGGGTTGTCTGGTATAGTAAGATTTTGTTCTCTGTGTTGGTTATTTGAGGTCCTAGCAGGATCCATCAGGGTGGGGTTAGAGGATATTATCAGAACCAAAGAGGGTTCTGAAGCTTTATTGGTGAAAAATAGTGTGTTTTTATCTCTTTTCAGCTTTGTATAGGTATTGTTAGAGTCTGTTAAGTAATATTTAGAGTATCTAAAAGCCAAAAATATATAAAGTATTTGTATTCTTCTATTCGAAAATGTTTTTTCTCTTAATTTTTGTTGTTTTGATGATCTACGAAAAGAGTTTATATTTTTTAGCTATCTATAACTCAAAATTTTGATTATAAAATTACTTTTTGTATATTAACAAAAAAAGTTTTGCTATATATAAGCCTTCTCTAATTTTAACCCAAATACTCATCCTTATTCTAATATCAAGAATTAATTTTTTAATTAATGATTTACAGTTTAAATTGGCCAATAGAACTTTAATATATATTATTGCATGTCTATAAAATTTTTATATAATATTACTATTAGGTTGGGAGAGTGTTAGGTTATTAGATACCAAGATAAATTAGGATAGTAATTAATAAATAAAAGAAAAGCATTTAGATATTTTCTTAGTAAGGAATTTAGTTTAGAGATTAATAAAGAAGTAGATTATATAAATACAGTGCAAATTGAAACTAAAACTTATCTGCTTAAGATTATTTTAAAAAATGTATTCTAAGGTTTAGGATATACAGAGTAGATAGATCAATTCTGATTGTCTTATTGTTGATAATCTATAATAGGATTGATTTAAGACATAATAGATGAATCTAGATAGGTTAACAATAGGTTAATAGATATGAATATGAAAATGTATTTACATAATAATAACAAATTTGTAAAGATGTATTCATGATATTGGTACAAGAATATAAATATCTATATACAGGGCTTTAACAAATTCAATAAAACAAAGACAAAAAAATAAAATAAATCAACTTTAGCAATTAATACTAACTAGAAGCATGAGAAATTGATATGGCAATAAAATAACTAGCTTTATACTAGCTTCAATTAGCTTTTTAGTGTATTAATTATAAAAGTCAAAGAAAAATATTAAGAGCAAAAGTCTGAAGAATCTTTATTGAAGGCAAAAAGCCAGTTCTTAAATACACAATTGATCTTATATAAATAATTTAGACTATTCTATAAGTAGAACATCTTTTCTTTTTCTTAATAATTCCATTTTTAACACCACTTCTTTCTGCCACCAATAATCATTTTAATAGATAACTAAAAACATTATAATAATCAAATGCCTTAAGTTTATCCTGTTGATAAATATTCTTCAACTTATGCATATATCAAATAATTAATACACTTGAGTGTGTTACTAGGTATGGCCTCTCAAACAAGGCCTGTACAGATAATTATATAATAACCATACAATAGTTATTGGTTTTCTTCATAAAACCATTCAATCAGGTTTTGGAAATTTCTTTTGCCGAAGAAGCAGTGTAACACCAGTTTATGTGGGGTCAGACTGATAGTCACCGCTCATCATTCACAATAATGCCGGACCGCTTGGAGCGACAGATTTTGGGGGCTCAATGTACAGAAATTGCTATTTACTCAATCATACCAAAAACGAAAATAAATAAAAGGAGATAACAAACAAACAAAAAAAAATAACAAACAAATAGAAAAGTAATAGGAATAAACACACAAATAAAAAAAAATCTATGAGAAAAAAAAAATTCGAAGGGAGTTGTAACAGCGGTCACTATGTATAATAAAATTTTGTTCGCAAATGTGGCAATTCTTGAATGTGTGCCAGATTGATAGCACATTAGCCAGCCACTATGATTTCTTTTATTTCAGTATGTACAGTGCATTCGTAAAATTTCTTTTTCAACGAAAACTTCTACCATGTGTTTCATCAACCGTTCTGTACTTTGAATGTTTTCTATTTTCTTTTGTGAATAGAAGACATAACAGAAATAATAGAATTTTTAAAATTTTTAGTTCAACTCTGGTTATTTTGAATCTAGAATTTGGTAAAGTGAAGCGGGAGCCGGACATTCCTAAAATTCAATAAAGGTTTTAAAAGCCTTCGCTCGCCCCTCTCAGCTCCAGCCAACTAGATTTAATTAAAAAGTAATAATATAACCTCTGTCAAGAATTTAAAATTTATTGTCCAGTATAATAAATGTACGTACCTCTATTAGTATTATCCGGGGTCTTATATATACCCTTTACGCCACATTATAGAGTAATTCAGAACAATTTTAGTTTGATAATTCATTTTGAGCAACAATACTGATTGGGTAACATCAAAATCATGTTTTTTATTATTCATTAATATTGTACTCTTTTATGACAATTCTTCTAATCCAATATAGCATTAAAAGTTGTAAACTTGAAACTTAAATAAAAATATCTAAAATAATTGCAAAAGTGTAATATTCTATATTAGTTGCATCCTGTGCTTCGCGCATGGGTAATTAGAGTCACGTTAGAATTTTTATTGTAATTACATGGAAGAATTTCTTTTCTCTAATATTGTTATTAAAAATACTTTTATTAAAGGGTTTGTATGATTATATATTTAAGTATAGTAAAGAATGTCATGAATTAAGCAAGCAATCGCTGATATCGAATTTTGAAATCTGTGGATTCTGAATTCAATTAAGCAGATTCAAAATTATTTTTTAAGTGAATTTTGATCTCAAAACAACTAAGTAGAAATAGAAATTTAAAAGCAATATAAATTTCGATAAGTATACATTATCCGGCAATTTATGATCATGATTGGTAGGGAGTCGCTCGCTGAGTTTTAATATAAATACTGGAATAAACATAATTACATCGTAACACATGAAAAAAAAAAGAAATTATTTCATGATCATATGAGTATGTAATTCTATAGCTAACAACATTGCATTACATATTTTTTACTCTTTTCTATAACATGCTCTCTATTTATGTATTTAATATTGCAATTACAAAATTTTAATTGAATTGTGAAATAAAAGCTTTACAACGTCTTGCAAGTGACTTTTCTTCAAAAATTTGTTAAGCCATTAAAAACTCGTCTTGAAATAAAACAATGTTCATGTGTTGAAATTTTAATTTAAAAACTTTCGCGAAAAACAGTACGATTATTTTAAATACATATGATTTATGATTACTAATGTTCGATTATTTAAATAATATTTTTAAGATCCGAAATCGACTTAAGTTGTTGCTGAATTCGAAATCCATTTAAATGGATTGCTTGGTTTATGTAACTGTGAAAATTATACAAATAATTACTATGAACAGTTGCTCAGCATTTTTTCTTCAAATGAGTGCTGCCAAGGGAAAACCTACAAGTTGTACTTTTTGTATATTTACTTTTAATAAAAATATCTTAAAATCAGGCAATCTAATAATACCTATAATTTTAATATCATTTGAATCATCTTAATGGGACGATTCAAATAATATTAAGAACAGTAGGTATTAAATTGTCTGATTTTAAGATATTTTTATTAAAAGTTAATATTCAAAAAGTGCTACTTGTAGGTTTTCCCTTGGCGGCACTCAAATATAATTTAAATTGGGGTACTGTATCTTAATTTTTAACATTTTGGAATTATTATTAATTTTATCAAATTATTTAATTGCGCATCTATTATTATTTCGTACGTATCATGTTACTATTATCATACCGTTCCGAAATTATGCACCCTTTTTTGTTAAAAATATGCTTAATTTTTGAAACTTTTTTTTTTAAATGTGGGTAACAATAAACTTTTAATTGATATATATGTACAGCCATAAAAGGTCATATGCAAGATCACCTACCCTCGTTTTTTAATAATTATTTTCTTTTTTTTTTATCAATTAACTTTTTTGGTGGAATGAAAGAGACCCGAGTCTTGTATATGACCTTTCACGGTAATCTTTATAATACTGTATAAATGTAAGAACCAGGTAGGAACGTTAATATCATTCATTATGTCACCTCTATCTTATGCGATTTCAGGAATTTTTCAAATATGAGGGGTTGCTTATTTTGGTTATCACTTAATTTCGGGGTGCTTAATTTCGGTATTTTTATTGCAGATTTTCCTAATCACCATGATAATCTTTTTTATTTTTGACATCCCATTAAAAATGAAACTATATAAGTCTATTCGCCAACAATTTTCAATCTTTTCCACTAACTTTATATTGATATCACGCAACTCATTATCACAACAAATACGAATGTACCATGAATGGGAAGATTCAATATTACTTGATCCAAAAGGTCCATACAATAAAGATTTACCAAAGTATAAAAGAGCTGAAGCGCCTTTAGCTTGTGAATTTAAACAATTATCCAAACTGGAACAAGATGTTATAATGAATCCGTACGGTAATTATTTTGCAAAGAAATCTATTTTTAATACATAATAGATTCTTATTTTTATTTATGTATATAGCGGCAATAATAGCATCACCTATAAGGCGTTGTTTCTATCATGAACGATGGTTTCCAAATGGTAAATTTTCTCTTCTATATATTTAACTCTATACTAATTAGATTTTATTATAATCAGATTTCTTGGTTAGATTTATAAAAGCATATGACGAGAAAACGAAGTCCACGTGGTTAGTCCCCGATTTTGAGGAATACGGAGGTATTAAACGACCTGGTAAAGGAAGATGGTTGAAACTTAATTCTACTGTTACACAAAAAGCCACGAAAGAAGGTATTAAATAACCTTAAAAAAATGATTCAACTAGATTAATTTAAATCATTTAATCATATCTTTTTCTACTCACACATTTAAATAAAAGGGAAATACAAATATATAGACCCTCATGCATTCTGGAGACCAGATATGCATGAACATATTTGGAATATTTTAGTTATGCGAGCTACTGATAGGTTACAAAGGTTTTTTAATTCTGTGGCTACAAAATCGTTTCCTGCCAAACGTGATCAAGTTTTATTACGTGTTCTTGATGATACCTCGCCTAAATTAATCATGAATAACGATAATGACTCAATTCCTTTTTCATGTAAGATTAAAAATGTGAGTTTAAATGATAAAGATAATGAGGATGGAAATCGAAAGTTTTATATAGATAATGAAAATGCTATAGATGGATTACAGTGTGTGTTCATTCTTGATCATTTGAAACATGATATTTTGTATGATAATAATGAAAAAAAAAGGAATAAGAATAATGAAAAAAACTTATCAACACCATCTGAGGAGAAAATAAATTCGCAAATAAAACAGAAGCAACAATCTCAAGTAACATTTTCACAAATACCGTTAAAACCATTTGGGACAATATATCCTGTAACTTTTCTTGGAAAAAACAACAAAATGTGTACGCAAAACGTACCATTTTATAATGTACGATGTATTTGGGGTACCAGAGGTGTTGGAAGATTTAAAGGATTTTTGAAAATTCCCAAATATGAAAATCCAATGTTGGGAATGATAACTCACAGGCACACTAAACAGTTTGCTATCTCTTTGTGGAAGTTAAGAGGATTTGTTTTATAGTTTGTATTTTCCAAAATGTAAATTATTCCAATGATTTGAATTTTATAAAATCTTTTGAATTTTATTAACGTTGCATACTGTCTTTTTTTTTTTTTTTTTTTTTTTTGTAGAATTTTTTTGTGCCATTATTGTTTGTATACAGATGATCTGCTTTTTCAAATCCAAATTTCATAAACATATGATGAATATTTGGATTTACATTTAATAATATATATCTTCAAAAGTGGATAACTTTTGATCTACTAGTCATTTATGCCAAAATAATGTCTTAATTGATGATTTCAACAAGTCCAAAACTGTTAAAATTAATGATAGAACCATGTTACTATTACAGATTCATGTTACTTTGAGTAAAATCTTATGGTTTAACTCGTCTAATTTTATTTAAAGCAATACAAATATTTAATAATCTGAATATATAAGAAATTTATTAATTTTGGCTTGCTGAAATTATTGTAATGATTATTTTGGTAATAAAATTATTCCAAATGACCAGTAGATTAAAAATTGTCATGCTAAAAAATACATGTTAATAATTTTTAAAAATGGTTTATATTATTAAATTTTTTTTTAATTTATAACTTTCTATACTACTTACAAGATTTTTCTTATTTACAAAATCACAGGTTAGCATTTTATTATATAAATGATAGATAAGACATAATATTTATTGTCGCGACTAAAGCTGGAATGACTAAAGCTAGAAATTTTAATTATTTTAATATAAAATTTTAAAACTTTTTGGGTCTTTTGTTAGAGATTTTTTTTAGGATTAGGTTAAAGTTTAGAGTTAGCTTTAATAATAAAAAGTATAAGTAGATTTGGTAGAGTTTATATTTTTAAATCAAGGTTCCTAATTTTTAGCTTTAGCCATTTCCAGCTTCAGCCGCAATATTTATTATCTTATTGCTTAAAAATTTTGTTTTCAAATGCTATTTATAAACAACAATTAATATTTAATGCTGCTTATAGAAAAAAAAAATCTTCTTAACAATATAGAAAAAATGATTGCTACACATTATAATATATATATTATTGATTAAATTAACTCATTATAAAATAGTGTTATCTATATAGCAAAAGAAAAAAATATTTTATAGATTATTAATACACTAGTACTAAATCACATTTATAGATTAGTGCTGTATAAATTTTTTAATAAATTTATTATAAAATTTAGAGTTAAGGTTTTATGTTAAGTGTTAAAATAAAGTTAAGAATCTAAATTCAAAATAGAATGAAGTTTTTAAGATGCTAAACATTTTTATTTAGAACACCAATATTAATTATTTATCTTATTGTTGGGATATAATTGTGTAATTTAGTAAAACTAAAAATATACATAGTATTCTGGGGGTTTTAAAACAGTTAGACTTAAAGTATATCAATATCATATTTTAAAAACTTCTAAAGTTTAGGAACTATATCAATTTTTGGTTAGAATTTATTAAGACTAATGATTTTTAAAACCTCTAAAATAAAGGTGGGTCGTACACCAGCTAGAAGTTGATTAATAGGGTAATAGCTGTTAATTAAATTCTAAGATATAGCAAAAATATGACTAAATTGCTTAGGGTGGGTGTCATTAGATAGACTAATATAGCACAACTTAATTTCTGTAATACACAATATGTAATAAGTTCTTAAGTTCTTAATTAATAAAAATTACAGCATATAAGCAATTTACTAAAAAAAAAAAACCTCTAAAATATATTCTGGAAGCTTCTAAAGCCCAGAAACTATATTAATTTTTATTTGAAATTATTATATATCAAAAATATATTTTAGAGGCTTCTAAAATTCAGAAACTATATTAATTTTTGATACATTGTAAAGTTCAACTTTTTAGAGTTCAATAAAGCTTTGATTGCTTTCTTTTTTACTTCATACTAAAACTGTTTTCAGAGAAGTTGTGCTTCATTAACTTTCTTTTTCATATTATATAAAACTGACTGTTTAATAATTGCAGAAAAAGAAAAAAAGAATTAAACAATTAATATAAAGTGGAGTTCTATAAACTTATTATTTTTTTTTTTAAACTTTGGCAATCTTGCCAATCACTTTATTAGGTATTGTAAATTTTAATATCTTAAATACAAAATTTTCAAATAACTAATCCACCTGATATCTAAATTATAATTGTTGACTTATCTAGTTGCTCAGAGAGCACTCATGTGTGATCTGCTATAACAAGTATTTACCTTCATACTA